GAATTACAGGCACGTGCTACCATGCCCGGCTAATTTTTTTATTTATTGTAGAGATGAGGTCTCACCAAGTTGCCCAGGCGGGTCTCAAACCCATGGACTTAGGCAATCCACTCACCTCAGCCTCCCAAAGCACGGGATTACAGGCTGAGCCACCAAGCCTGGCTTAGAGACAACTTTTGGGGAAGGTAGCCATTGAGCTGGGTTTTGACAAGGACTTCAAAGAAAGGACGGCAGTGTGGGCAGAGGGACTGGCCTGAGCAAAGGCCCCAAGGTGGGGGACTCAGGAACATCTGGGCAACAGACGCTCCAGGGGCCTGAAACGGTGGAGGTGATGGGGTCGGAGTGTGGAGTGTTCCCCAGGCAGGCAAGAGGGGTGCCTGGCACCTGCCCTGGGAGGGTTGGGACTTGGAGTTTGGGGCAGAAGAGTGACCCTAGTCTCTCCTGGACCAGTTTGTGAAGACCATGGTGCTGGTGGTGGTGACGTTCGCCATCTGCTGGCTGCCCTACCATCTCTACTTCATCCTGGGCAGCTTCCAGAAAGACATCTACTGCCACAAGTTCATCCAGCAGGTCTACCTGGCACTCTTCTGGTTGGCCATGAGTTCCACCATGTACAATCCCATCATCTACTGCTGCCTTAACCACAGGTGAGCCACACCCCTCTCCTCCCCTCTGCCCTCAGGGCCCCAGCCCCATCTGGGCTCCCCTGCACAGCTCAAATCTCAACCCTTGTTCCCGTCTGGGCCTGTGCCCCATGCCTCCAGCCCACACGAGAATGCCAGCTTCACCGTCAACCCACAGCACTATCCTCCCTCTGTAACTTCAGCCTTGCCCCCCTTCTCACTCCCCAAAGCCTTGCCCCATTCCCCAGGCTGTGAAACTCTCACCGTCTGTCCCTGTTGGCTCTTCTGAGGTCTACATCTGGGAAGGAGAGAGAGGGAGGGTCAGAGAGATGGAGGGAAGAGAGGAATCAGTGAGAGACAGCAAGGATAGAGAAGGTGGAAGGAAGAGCCAGGGGAAGGAGGGAGGGACTGACTTCTGTCCTAATATTTTTATGAGCTGTCTGTGCACAACTTTTGTGGGACATGATGAGTGCAGTGACCCAGCAGTGGAAGCCCTGGATTAGAGGCTGGGGCCAGTACTGGGACGGGGCAGCTGTTCCCTAGGGAGATCACAGTGTATTTCCTGTCCTTGAGGGGCTTTCAGGACAACTGGGAAGTGACCTTGGCAGAGACAGCCAAGAAGGAGGGGCCGGCATCTTACTCCTCCCTCAACATCATCTGGTTTCCTCATCCCAGAGGCGGCCAGCACTTGCTCTGGGACACTTGGAGAGATGTAAGGTGGTGAGCCAGGCAGGACCTCCAGTTCCCAGAAGTCCTGCGTCAGAGCTGGTCTTTCAGCCTCAGAAAATCCTGACAGTGGGGCCAGGATGAGAGGTGGACGCTTCCCAGCTTCAGCAAGACAGGAATGTGGGTGAGGCTGTCCCCGGACCTCTTTGTGTCTTTTGTCACCTTCCTGGCCAGGTGTCCAGGCTACTCATAATGCCATTAGGGTCTTGTTGTTCAGACCCTAATATGGGGCAGGCCAGAAGCAAGTGAAGAACTATAATTTTGTGTGTGTTTACTGGATGCCAGAACCCTCTAACTCCTGAAAGCTAAGTACGTAATAGGAAAGAAGCAGGTGTTACTCTCGTTATACAGATGAGGAAACTGAGTCTCAGAAAGGAAGACTCTCTTAAACTCATACAGCACACAGTAAAGCCAGGCTTCCATGTAGCTCCAAGGCCTGTAATCTTAACCCCACATCACATGTTTCTCTTTCAGGAGATTTGAAAGAGAACAAAAAGTGCTTAAAAATTAGCTGGGTACGGTGGTGAATACCTGTAGTCCCAGCTACTCAGGAGGCTGATGTGGAAGTGTCACTTGAACCCAGGAGGTTGAGGCGACCGTGAGCTGTGATCGTGCTGCTGCACTCTAGCCTGGGTGACAGAGTGAGATCCTGACACTCCCCCGCCCAAAAATGTTCATCAAGTGGCCATATGTACCCAGCACTGTCCCAGGCACTTGGGATACACCAGTGAGTAAAAGTTAACAGGCCTTTCCCCAGGGAGCTGATATTTTGATGAAAGACAACGGACAATAAATAAACATAATATGTGAGTGAGTCGTATGGTATGTTAGGTAGTAGTCCTGCAGAAAAAAGAACAGCTAGACCTGGGTGTGGGAAGACAGGTAGTAGATATGGGGGCTGTAGGTTTACATTTGGGCAAAAGACTTGAAGGATAGAGTCAGCTCTGCAGTGATCTGGGCCAGAATAGCCAAAGAGACAGCCCTGTGGCCCAGGTAAGGACTTGGGTTTGTACGCCAATGTCGGGACCCACCGCAGGGCTTGAGCAGGGAAGACACATGCTCTGACTCACCTTTCAAAAGAATCAGTACAGGCCGGGTGCGGTGGCTCACACCTATAATCCCAGCACTTTGGGAGGCCGAGGTGAGAGGATTGCCTGAGCCCAAGGGTTCGAGACCAGCCTGGGCAACTTGAGGAGACCTCATCTCTACAATAAATCAAAAGCTTAGCCGGGTGTGGTAGCACGTGCCTGTAGTTCCAGCTACTTGGTAGGCTGAGGTGGAAGGATTGCCGGAGCCCAGCAGATCGAGGCTATGGTGGATCGAGGCTGTGGTGGAACGAGGCTGTGGTGGCTGGGAGCGACAGAGTGAGACTCTGACTCAAAAAAAAAAAAGAAAGAAAGAAAGAAATGGATGGGGACTGGCTGCACTGGCTGGAGGAGGGGAGGATGATTAGGAGCTTGGGTTGGGACATGCTGAGTGTGGGCAGAAGGTAGAGGCCAGTAAGCCCACAAACAGGTGCTTGTGGGGCCACCATGGAGTCTGGTGGACAAAACGAAGCACTGGAGTAAGGGAACTCTTCTGGGACCCGGAGCTCTGCGTAGCCCAGAAGAGGCAACACAGTTCTTTCTCTCTCGCTGGCACACGGTCTCATTCATTCCTTCCGCTCTCTGAGCAGCCGGTGTTCCCTTTATGCCAACCCATGTCTTCCACTTACCGTGTCTGCTTCCTCTGAACTCCAGTTCGTGCACAGACCTTCATTGCTGCTTCGGGAGAGCTGCTTATTTTTAAAGCACCAAATGCACCAAAACCTGACAGCTCCATGTGTTTTCTTTCAAAGCAGTCCCCTTGGGAGAGCATCCTGATTCCACCAACATTGCCAGAGCCCTTTTTTTATTGCTCCTCTTTTTTTTTTTTTTCAATAGCTTTCGGGCATTCAAATGGTTTTTGGTTACATGGATGCATTGTATAGTGGCGAAGAGGTCTGGGCTCTAAGTCTTCCCACCACCCCCACCTATGCACAGTGTTCTCGATGGGTGATTTTTCTATTTTTTGTTGTTGTCTCACTGTCACCCAGGCTGGAGTGCAGTGGCATGCTCACAGCCACCGCAGCCTCAACCTGCAGCGCTCAGGCGTTCCTTCCGCCTGAGCCTTCCAAGTAGCCAGAACTACAGGCATGCGCCACCACACCCAGCTAATTTTTTGATTTATTGTAGAGACAGGCTGTAAGTTCCCCAGGCTGGTCTCAAACCCTCAGCTCAGGCAATCCTCTCACCTCAGCCTCCCAAAGTGCTGGGATTACAGGCTTGAGCCACCACACCAGGCTTGGGTGATTTTTCATTCCTACGCCCCAAGACTTGTCTTCGAAACCTCCTTTAGACGCCAGTTAACAGGTCAAACAAGGAAGTCTGTTTCTAGTTAGACGTTTTTGTTGTTTATAAGATCAAATCGTCTAAGTCAGCCTAATCACCCATTTCAATCACTAGACTTAGCACCAGAATGCTCCTGGCTGTTTCCAAAAATCAAACTCACTCAAGAAAGCATCTGTCAGGAGATCCTGGTAGGCTCTTTGGAGAGAGGCAGTGACTTTCTTCTGGAAGGGAGATAGACAGTCTCTGGGGTGGAGCAGCCACACAACAGCTCCTGTAACCCCTAACTCCCTGACTCAAGGTGACCCTCTTGCCCCCAGGTTTCGCTCGGGATTCCGGCTTGCTTTTCGCTGCTGCCCATGGGTCACGCCAACTGAGGAAGATAAACTTGAGCTGACTCACACCCCATCCCTCTCCATGAGGGTCAAGAGATGTCACACCAAAGAGACTTTGCTCATGTCTGCGGATGCAGCCCCCTCCGAGGCTACGGAGGCTGGGGGTCTCCAAGGTGGGACGCTGCCATGGTCTGGATATGGGCTGAGTGGCCCTGCCAAAACTCATGTTGAAATTTGATCCCCGATGGGACAGTGTTGGGATGCGGGCCCCAGTGGGAGGCGTTTGGGTCATGGGGACAGATCCCTCATGTATCGATGAATACTCTCTAGCTGGGGTGATGGCGTTCTGGCTCTTTTGGGAATAGATTCGTATCTGGGACAGCAGATTGTTAGAAGAGTCTGGCTTCCTCGTCCCTCAGTTTCCTTCTCGCTTCCTCTCTCACCATGTGATCTCACTGCACAACACCCACTCCCCTTCCCCTTTCTGTCGTGAGTGGAAGCAGCCTGAGGCCCTCACCACATGCAGCTTGCCCAGTCCTGGATTTCCCCCTCACCAGAACCGAAAGCCAAATAAATCTTTCTTCATTAATTACCCAGTCTCAGGTGATCAGTTATGTCAACACGAAACAAAGACAGACGCCTGCTGACCCCAGAAGCTTTGTGCCTGGATGCAGGGTAAGGCTTAGCACCCTTTGAGAAGTAGCAAAACGAGAGGACCAGATCAGAAAGTCTGGCCCATGCCTCTTCCTTCAATACCCCAGGAAAAATAAGATGGATCAGGAACCCAACAAAGGATGCTGCTTCTAAGCAGACTCAATCACCCAGCTCAGAGAACACTTCCACAGAGCCAGTAAGGTACCTAATACTTATCTAATCAAGGAGCTGCAAGCTGAAATGCCTTTCTGGGGCCACAACACGATGAGTGAATTGGTCCAGTATAAAAGAAAAACTGCAGGCCAAGCATAGTGGCTCAAGCCTGTAATCCTAGCACTTTGGGAGGTGGAGGTGAGAGAATTACCTGAGCTCAGGGGTTCGAGACCAGCCTGAGCAACACGGCGAGACCTTGTCTCTACAATAAATTTTTAAGGAGCCTCTCTCACTGACACTGAATAACAGAAATAAAGAAAAAATAAAATAACAAAAAAATTAGCTGGGTGTGGTGGCACATGCCTGTGGTTCCAGCTACTTGGAAGGCTGAGGTGGAAGAATCACCTGAGCCTAGCTGGTCAAGGCTGCGGTGGTTGTGAGCATGACACTGCACTCCAGCCCAGACAGCAGTGAAATTCCAACTCAAAGAAAAAAAGAAAAACTGCAAATGTGATGATAAAAGGCAATTTGACTTCCAGTCTCAGTGTTGAGGTAACAGGGAATGGTGGAGACTGTGGCAAACTGAAGGGGATAGGCATCCAAACTGCCCAGCTCTGGACATATGGTGGTAATAGGTGCCCCTTGTCACTCCCAGATCTTCTAAGTCTTTCAAGCGAAGTTACTAGTCCAAATTTGTGAGACCTTCAGATTCATTAAATTTGGCTCACATTTTTATAAACTTTGGGTAAGCCGAACAAAGCATATCTGTGGGGAGTGTGCAACCACAACACTGATTCATTATCAGGCTAAAGACACAAAGAGGAAGCTTCTCATTTTCCAAAGTTCAACAGTTATGGGTCTACCCAAGGCCTTTCTGCTTCAATATCTAAGAAGTCAGATACAGCCCAATGTAGATGATGTTTAAGAGTCTAAAGAGTCAGCGTGTTTCCTCAGGCAAGTCACTCTGACCCTGTCTCCTCCTCTGTCCAACAGCAAAACTGCTTCACAGGGATGCTGTGAGGATCAATGTAAGTGACACCCATAAACTAGCAAGTCAGACCAGATTAAGTGTTCAGTAAACAGTAGCCATGACTTTTAACCATTTTACACAAACGCCACCTACAAATCAGCAGCACAGCTTCCACTCTTATTTCTGCAGCAAGAAGTTGGCAGGCCGACAACAGCAACTGTCCCGACTCCCAGAAAGCTCCAGGCCTGGTCCAGCCTACCCCAAGGGTACACCTTTCCCTGCTGGCTGACTATCCTCCATGTCCCAGTGCCCCCTCCAGAAGAACCACATAACACTGTAAACGCACATCAAAGTTTAATGTTATCTGTATTCTCCATAAACATCACTGTGGCATAGACACCGGTAGCATCAGGCCCCAAATAAAGGGACTCCGATGACACCAAACCGAGTGGGCAGGCGGTCAGTCCTGGGGGAAGCCACTTACAGCTGCAGTCATAGCTTGAGCCATCCCAGGGCACCTAGGTTCAGACTGACATGGAACCCATCAAAGGTTGGGGAGAACCCCAAATGACAGCTAGGGATGGACCAGCAATCTCTTGAGGCTGGGATGAAGGGAGAGATAAAAGCGTCAGATAAGAGCTGATTTCCTATGACCGGGTCCATTCGAGATCAGGGAAGAGTATAGCAACCCTGCCACCCTGGGCTGCTTCAAGACTTCATCTGTGTTGGCGGGGGGAGCATTGGCAGGCAGGGAGGTGAAGGGAAGGATTTGTTTGGGGATGGCAGAGGAGGGGGGACCAGTGTGCACTGTCCTCTCATGGAACCCAAACAGCCCCTGGAAGCCAAGTGGATTTTTTTCTTTGTTCCAACTACAAATGAAGACAGAGGTCTTACATTTGTTATCTTCTAAAAGGTGCTGGGGTGTGACTCTGGGACTAGACTGGGTAACTGCAGGGCAGGTGCTGGGAGACACGAGGAGGAGGCCATTCTGCATGCAGGCTGAAGGCCATCACCTTTATTTAAACTCCCTCACTCAGAAGGCCACACAAATTCCCAGCATTTGTGGTCTCTGCCACACCCCAAGACAGCCTCCCCCATCCCTTGCCAGTAAGCATCACTCGGGTTTTTGAACTGGTACAAAGTTTACTAGGTCATACAACATGGCTCACAAAAGCGATGGGAAATTCCAGAGACGGCATCGTTTGTCGGTTGGTTCCTTTTACCCAAATGGAGACAAGACATTTTCCCGCACGACTGCCCACCACCCCTCACGAGACAAACAGAATGCAAGACTGTCACACGTGGCTAGGACTGCTTCCACGGACACACGGTTTTGTGGCATGGACGCATCCTGATGGGATGCCAGGCCACATAGGCCGCAGTGAGTGCCGGGAGGGGAGGAAGCGGCTAATGCTATGTCCACACTCGCCTTCAGGCTGTGCCCCCGGGAGGGGAGGCCTGGCAGTGTCTGCTGGTGATAATACATTTCACACAGGGGGAGGGTTTGGGAGGGCAGTAGGGAGTAACACCAAGGACGGGCTGCGGAGGCCCAGAAGGCCTGTCGGGCGTGAGACTTTCTGCCTCAAGCCAATACATAACTCCACTGGATGGAAGCATACAGTAGAAATGGATGTCACTACACTTCACACATGGGGGACCGGGTCGAAATCAGATCATGCAGAGTGGCAGGGCAGGTGAGCAGGGGTCTGGGTGAGAGATATTATCAACAGCACACACTCTATGTTGTGCCCTACATTATACGCCATTAGTTGGACTTTTTTTTCCTCCCCACTGTGGCGGGCTCGGGCGCCGGCGTCTCCCAGCACAGTTCGCTGGGAGGGATGGGGGTCGCCGCTCGAAGAGAGACGTGCTGGAGGGGCTGCAGGCTGGGGGTCCTGGGCTCTTAGCTGCTCGCTTCTGTGCGCATCCGCACGCCCACGGCCGTGATAAGGGCAGCTCCCTTGCCACTGCCGTCCTCGGACAGGAGGAAGGACACATTACACTTTGGTGACAGTTCCTTCACGGTTTGGTACATGATTCTGGAGAAGCTAAAAGGGGCAAAAAAAAAAGGGAAGGTCAGTAGAGGAAGATAAGAAGAGACACTGGACCCACCTAAAAACGCAAGTACAGACAGCCCCGACCTGAGACAGCCTGACATATGACATAGGATTTTTGACTTGGTGATGGTTTACTGGGGTTTAAGGCAGTCCCTAGTTGAGGAGCCTCTGAACCCAATCAACAGGAGGGCAGACAAAGTGGGGAGGAGGCTGCTTAAAGCAGCTGTGGCTGACTGAGAATGGCTGGAAGAAGAGGGGGCTTCCAGTCAACTCCACCATCAAAGCTTTCAGCAGAGAGGCCCAACTGAGACTCCCAAAACAAGCTACTCTGTATGGCTAATGAGGACTAGGGCATGAATGGCACACTCACACACCCCACCCACTCTCACACCCTGCCCTCAGAGCTGGAGGCTCTGAGGGGACCTGAAAACCAAGGATGCCGGGGCCTGCGCACAGATGGCTGAAGCAGGCCCAAGCGATCAAACACAGGGTCTCTAGGTAGCCCTGTGGGAACGAGTATGACCCACCCCCAACTGCAGACCCGAGACATCCCATTTCTGCCCTCTACCTTCAACAGTCTGGCTCCTGAAAAGAGGGCAGCCAGCGAAGGATAGTGTCTGAATGAAGGATGACTCTAGGTACTGGCATTTTGTGCTAAAAATTAAAGGCCATGCCAGGCTGAGGCAACCTGGGGTGAGGGACCCTCAGAAGTAGTAACTGCCTTGTTGAGGACCTACTCGGTGCCCCATATTTTATAGATCTAGCTTCCAGCTCTGCCAGCGGCCATCATCCCGTGAGGAAGATGAGACTTCGCAGAGATTGGGCAACTGTGCGCAGCTTCTAAAGGACAGAGCCGGGATGAAATCCAAGAGTTTATATGGCTCCAGGGCCTGGCTGGAAACCAGCCTGCGTGCTATCTCAGGTGACAGTGAGGACAGCGGTGAGGCTGGAGAAGACAGACGATTCCATCTCAAGCCATGGCCACGAGGTAAGCAGGTAATGGCTACACTGTGTTGGGTGAGGTTGCTTAGAAGTAGGACAACACCATGGCCCAGTTTATCTGGGATGATCCCAGTTTGCCTGCAGTCCCAAAGTCATTATTAGTAGCACTCTTTTGACTAGCAAAAGTACTCCGGTTTAGACAACAAATAGTAAGTTCATGCTATTCAAAAGAGCCAACCTTTGAGACATGCAACAGATCACGCAGCAGATGGCGTCACATGTCCTTTTCTGGAATGGTGTATCACGGCACTCCCTATCCCTCCCTGCCATCAAGCCCAGGATACAAACTACTCATGCCCTGCCAAGTCTTGGCAAACTCTGATTCAGCAGGTGAACCAGTGGCCCTCCTCCCCCTTTAGTAAGCGAGGAGAGGATATTAAGAAAGGGGAGAAGGGTCACCAT